TTTGGGGTGGGCTATTACCCTGTCATTATTATGTCGCCATCATCGTCACTGTCATTATCATCATTTCTACTATTACCATTGGAAGACAACTTTTTAGGGATGCCACTCTAGATGTGGACTCAGTGGAACTGGAATTCTTTTTTTTTTTCTCTATGAAATTAAATTATACCCTTTCCCACACCCCAGTCTTCTTTATCAACACTTGCAGTTTAGGGGAAAAGGAGGAGAATTTCTAGCAGTTTATTCTGTTGAATCATTGTCCCAGGTGATGAATCAATTAATACATATATATAAACAGCAGGAGTAAATGTAGACTAAATCATTCTGTCTGCCATTCAAGTCCAGTGGGCACCTGCTGCCTGCCATCCAGGGATTCTGCTGTGCCTTGTTTGAAAACACAAACTGCCACAGGAGGGGACAACGCCCAGGGCCACAAGGAGGTGAAATGCCTGTGTGACACACACAACTAGTCGGTGGCAGGCTTGGAGCTTGAGCTGATCGTGTGAATTTCCTAGACAGTGACCCCCATGGCTGGGAATCTGCTAGGGTCCCTCCAAGCTTTGATGTAGTGATAAGAGTGGGACCTATGAGGTTGCTACAGAAGGATGCAGCTGCTTCTGGGAAAAGATTGGATCCTGGCCAGGGCCTTGTGAAGAACAAAAAAAGATAGCAGTGATACAGACATGCATTTTTGTTTTATGTTATTTTATTCCCTTCCAGTTACAGAATGCTTTTTTTGTTAGGCAAAACGCAGCTCTGATGCTTCTGGTCTTTGCCAAGCTGAGGATGAAACCATTTGTTAGTGTTGCTACTCATTAAATGAGCAGCTACAGATGGCAAACAAATTTAAACCTGCTTTTTATGTTGGTGGAAAGTCGAAACCAAATTCCCTGTTGGTGCCAAGGCATCTTCAGTAAACACAAAGATACATTTACATTTTCTTTGTTCTCTGGCATCATGCTGTTAAATGCCGTGCATTCTTCATTTTTTGTTTTTAAATAGTTTCTATAAAGATATAGCTAGAGAGTGCAGGTCAAATGAGGCACTGGATCCCCAGAGGGAAACTGGACCACCACCCAGAGCCCATGGCTAGTGTTCAGTCCCACTAACAAGAGAGACCAAGTGGGAGTTAAAGGGAGAGGTGTAACCACATGGGTAGAACTGTGTCCAGGAGCTAGCCAGATTTGGGGAAGAAATTCCAAATCCAAACCCAGCCCTTGGTGGGGTTAAGACTTCAATAGTCTAGTAGAATGGAAAGACATATGTTTTGAAGCCAGAGGGATATGAATTGGTCCACAGATAGAGGCCTTGGACAAGATATATAACCTCCCTGATTCTAGTTTCCTCATTACAAAATCACTGATAACAAGTCCTCACTCGCTGGATGATTGTGCCTGTAGACACGAAAGTGAAGTCCTGGCCTATGGTGGGATTTCATAGTAGTCTGTTACTGCTACTGGATTGGCCAGTTGCCTTCATTAGACTTTGTTTAGGTGCTTAATCGAACCTCAGAATTGAAGGCCAATGATGATGGAAGCTTTGGGAAATTTGGGGGCAAATCCACAATCCTAATTTTCTGATCTGCTACTAGGAAATCATAGTAATTAACGTGCCTTTCTTGTTTTCCTGGATTGTTGGGGGTGACAGGAGAGAGGCCATGAAAACATGTTGTAACTTGAAAAGTATTATGCTGAAGTTACTATAAAAATAATAGACACAACATAAATTGACATTTATGCTCACTTTTTGTCAAACACAGATTTTAGGCTCCATGGATGTCACTTGATTTAATTGATTACTTGAGAGAAAGAGAAAAGAGACAGACTAACAACAAATACCTGACTGGGGTTGAAGTCAGAAACTGGGAATGTCCTCCAGGACAGCTGCTCTGGTACTGGGAATCCAGTAACTTGAACCATCACTGTTGTCTGCCAGTGTCTACACTGGCAGGAATCTGGATTTAGGAGCCAAAGCAATCAAACCCAAGCTACCCTGATTGGAATGTGGGTGTCTTAACTTTTCAGCTGAGCATCTATTCCATTTGATTTCATTTTAATCTTTCTCTAACAGTTTTCCCATGCAGAACCCTGTTTAATATTCCTGATTTTTCATTTGATTAAAGCACAGAGGTTATGGTCTGCTGAAGGTCAAACAAATAGGAAGAGAATTGGATTCAAACCCAGTGTTCCAATTCCAGGATTGAGACAGTAAACTATTCATCTTTATGCTGATATTGATGTTGTGATGTGATTGCTCTTTCTAAGGTTGCTCGTATAAAGGACACACAGCTACGTGCATTCTCAAGGCATGATGTGGGGCTGTGCAGCAATGACAGTGATCATGAAGTCATCTTAATTAATCTCCCTACTTTCTAGGCATACGTTAGACATCTTAGGAACACATGTGCTCTTACTCATGAGCACACACAGTCACAGATGAAGTAGAAATGTATGTAGATTATAGAAACATGCTCAAGATAGAAACCAGAGCAAAAATGTAAGGAAGTAAAGCATTTGCAGAATCATTTATGGGCTCGTGATTCTGTTGGGAAGGATAATTATTCATTGACTTAAGTGAGATGAAGAGTGTCATTATGGCAGCAGAGTGAGTGATGGTCATCCTTAAACTCGTTTCTTCTGTAAGCACATGCTAAATGCCATTCACACATGTGACATCCTCCTGTGTGATTTCTAGACCCTAACAATACACATTCCAATTTATCTTTGAGGAAAATGAATAATAAGCCATTTGGTTTTAGCATTTATGAACACATTTAATGGACAGTTAGATACATTTCCCAGTCAAGTAGCTTCTTGAAAAAGGTTTTTAAAATGTTATTTCAAAGGCAGAGTCAGAGAGAAAAGGATGGAGAGGGAGAGACAGAGAGAGAGAAAGAGACTTTCCATCTTGTGGTTTACTCCTCAAATGGCCACCACAGCCAGAGCTGGGCAAATCCAAAACCAGGAGCCAGAAGCTTTCTCTGGGTTTCCCACACAGGTGCAGTGTCCCAAGGACTGGTTTGGACCATTCTCCACTGCTTCTCCAGACCATAAGCAGGGAGCTGAATTGGAAGTGGAGCAGCAGGCCTCAAACTGGTGACAATATGGGATGCTGGTGCCAAAGGCAGAAATTCAACCTACTACACCATGTTGCTAGCCCCGTAAGCAGCTTTTTAATATAATTCCACTGAATTCAGCAAAGTTACTGTACATTAATTATGCTGATCAGTACAGTACTAGCCATATGTAGTTCTGTAAAGCTGCAAATTGAATTCTTTACCCCTCCTAGCTCTGTTTCTCAATAAGTCATGTGTGGATAATGGCTACCAATCAGACAATGTGAATTATGGAATATTTCCATCATTGAAGAAAGATCCATTGGACAGTAGCACACAGCAAAAAGGCAGTGAAGACTCACTCCTTCTCAAAACTTGTTGATCTAGGCCCGATAGCTCTGAAGTAAAGACAGGTGCTAACCCATCCATCCAGGGCCCAGGAGCGTGGCCTAGCAGCTAACGTCCTCACCCTGAACGTGCTGGAATCCCATATGGGTGCCGGTTCTAATCCCAGCAGCTCCACTTCCTATCCAGCTCCCTGCTTATGGCCTGGGAAAGCAGTCGAGGACAGCCCAAAGCCTTGGGATCCTTCATCCGTGTGGGAGACCTGGAGGAGGTTCCTGGCTCCTGGCTTCGGATCAGCACAGCACCGGCCGTTGCGGTCACTTGGGGAGTGAATCATTGGGCGGAAGATCTTCCTCTCTGTCTCTCCTCCTCTATGTATATCCACCTTTCCAATAAAAATAAATAAATCTTGAAAAAAATTAAATAAACCATCCATCCTAGACTTAGGACTAGAGGAAGACCAGGGCAGTAGGAGAGTATGATGAGGTGTCTACTCAAAGCAGGAAGGTCAGGAAAATAGAACCAAAGAAAATTCCGTATGTCCAAATTACAGAAAAATTTTTTTTAAATATTCAACTTTACTTTCTTAAATCATATTCTCTACAGCTAGAGTCCATAGCTAATTACTAATATGATGTTTAAACATCATTGAATAAGCTTAAATAAAACTTTAATGCAATAAATCTCAAAACTACAGTGTGATTTCATTTATAAGAGATTCTGGAGCAGGCAAAATTAATCTGTGATGATAGCAGTCTGAACAGTAGTTGCCTGGGGGTGGAGTCACAAGAAGTGGTTGGCAGCAGAGATTGACTGCAAAGAATTTCCAGGGTATTTTCTGGGGTGTTGGTGAGGCCTATCCAGACAGAGCAGTGGTTTTATGGATATATGCATTTGTCAGTGCGCATGGAACTATAGAATTATAATCTGTGCTTTGCACAGAATGTAAATCACATCTCAACGTCTGAGACATAACTGAACTGAATCTTTGTCTATGATGGAAACAACTGTACAGATCATCATGGAAATGTCTGTTGCTCAAGTGCTTTGTGTCCTGTTGACCTGGCCTTCATGACCCTGCTGTCGTCACTCGCAGAAGAGTGTCAGCCATACTGCCTGACCTCGTGCTGTGTTCTTGTGAATGTGTTGCTCCTGCCTTTTCTAGCTTTGATTTTGTCTCTATTGTCTTTTATTATCAAAAGTGGACAGGCTGAAAGAATGGTTTCCAGAACAGTGTTATTTGGGGATGAAAGATCTGTGAATTTTGCTTGTGTTCCTCTTCTTTGTATTGTTGAAACAAACACCACATGTGAATTATGTTCAGGGTTTGAAGCACAGACACCCATTTTGTCTTGATATGGAATATACAAATACCCAATGGGTGCAATGTACTCATTTGTGGACTCTGGGTCAAGTTGTGTGGGTGATTGGTCAGTAGTGATGAGTTCTTGGTGATTGTTTTCACTTCATTCCCCGTCTGCTTTCTTATGCCTCTCCTGTGAGTGTCCCTGTGACCCAGGGGTATGAGCAAATAAATCTAAGTCACTGGGAAGTGCTCTCAACTGTCTGTCCCTTACATCTGCCTTCTCTGTGCTCACAGATTCTTACCTGACTCTGGATGAACCAATGAATAACATCACCACATCCCTGGGGCAGACTGCAGAGCTCCACTGCAAAGTCTCTGGGAATCCACCTCCTACCATCCGCTGGTTCAAAAACGATGCACCTGTAGTCCAGGAGCCCCGGAGACTGTCCTTTCGAGCAACCAACTATGGCTCACGGCTGCGGATTAGAAACCTCGACACCACAGACACAGGCTACTTCCAGTGTGTGGCAACTAATGGCAAGAAGGTGGTTTCTACCACTGGAGTCTTGTTTGTCAAGTTTGGTAAGCATCTCCTACTGGGTCTGGCTTTGGCCTTTAATCCAATGCAGTGGGATGGCAAAGATCCATGGGGTCAAGAATGGAGGGAATGAGCACTTACTCAAAATGTATTGAATGCCCACAACCTAAAGCTTATTTTCTCGAACAAGTGTATCAAGGTCCAGTAGATAATTGCCACATTCAGGATTGCCCAGCTAGTAATGAACAAGATGGGAGGGTAGACCAGTCTGACCTCACATTTGCTACTCCAAACATCACACTACTGAGTTCTTCTCAAGCAGGGTGCTCTTTGTCCAGAGGATTTGGAAACACTTGGCACAAGCATGCCCTTTGTGTGCTTACATGAGCTCACCCTCCTATGGAAAAATCCTGATGCAGTGAGAGGATATGTGCTCCATTGAGTCCATTTTTAGCACTTGTCTTGGCATTTTTCAGGGCTCTGAACTCTGGGATCTAGACACATTTTCGCTGGTCTGCTTTTTTGATAGAAGTGGTTGGTGAGAACTGGAGCAAAACACAAAGTCCCAGAAAAATAAATATTCCCTCTGAGTGGTTGAGAACTTTTCTCTCTGTGATGGTTGCACTGTACCCACACTCGCCTTCTGCTAACCCAGACTGACTGTTACTTTTGTTTTCCTTTCATTTTTTTCAGGCCCCCCTCCCACTGCAAGTCCAGGATCCTCGTAAGTACTTTGAATCTCCCTTCTTGCCATTTCTGAACATTTCTCAAGGGTTATGGGGCCAAGGCAATGTTGTCCTCTGTTGGCCAAGCGCTTGTTTCCAGATGTTGTTCCACTATATCTTGCCTTTGTTTCATTTTGGGTATTTTCTGATGTAAAGGTTCACAGGCGACCAGCATTGTTAGTAATCTCAATTATGAAAACAAAAAGTTAGATAAATGCACTCTGTTTAAGATGAATCCAACACTTAGTGGCAATGGTAGATTTAGTGAAAGCCAACAGAAAACACTTGAGTGCCTCCCTAGGAACCTTGACTTTAAGCATCAGGGTACTTTGCTATGGTTCCACAAGCATGTCTGGTGCTTAAACTTTGAACAGGGCAACAGTAACGGGATTGCCATATTTTAATCCCGTTAATGAACTCAGAGGTACAAGTTTTGACTCAAAGAAGGGCAGTCCCATGCTTGGTTGAGAAGTACATAGACATTTTTTCACCCTGAGTCCCTTGCTAATGGTGTCTAAAGATCCCATTCCTTTAGTTGATACTGTTCTTGATACATTTGTCTTTTATTTTAGTGGAGATCCTCATCTTTCACTCTAAGGTTAACCAATTGGAGCATTATTTTCTTTATGTATACTTTTATTTGGGGGGAAATTTATAAAAATCCTTGCTTTGCATGAAAATATCCTCCATATTTTATAGACCTTTGAAGTACGTCTCAGTAGTGTATGCCATGAAAGCATCAAAATGTCTGGCCCAGTCTACACCCATGGCAAATACAACACCCACTTAATTTTGCTCAAATCCCCTCTGTGCCACTTAATTACAGTGTGGAGTATTTTAATACATTTTTGTGTGCCCTGGGGCCCAGGGGCTCACAATCCCATTAATAAAATAGGTAATGGGTAAAAATAAACATTGGCCTTCAGCCACACTGTTCTGTCATTTCATCAGCCTGTTAAAGACTACAGTGAAAGAGCCTTTAAAATCACCCAAGTGCTAATTGCATTCTCCTTGCTCAGGTAAAAAAAATACTGATTGATCTTAGGCAGATCAGAAGTTGGTCATTCTGCCTCTCATTTCTTGAAGCTAGTCTCTTTTTTTAATGGTCAAACAATTGGATATATGAGGAAATCTTTTGAAGTTTTATTTAAAAATGCATTCCACCCTGGTACCTATTTGTTCTATTAATCTGTGATTCAAATGTAGCTGATAACTTGTATCCCAGATTGGTTAAATCTGTCTTGACTAATAGGCTGACTTCCTGACTGTTGCATTTACCTCACGGTGTTACATTTATATTATCACTTATTTTTAAGCACTTTTTTGTCCTCTTTTGGAGACTTACAGGTTAAGTGTTTATTTCATGAGACTATAATATTAGACCATGTATGTAGGATGCATAGCACAGAGTACAACAAAAAGCATTAAGTTCTAAGTCTAGAATAACGTGCAGTTGTCCTTAGTGTCCAAAAAGAGTTGCTTCCAGAACACACTGAGGACGCCAAAAATTTGGGGGTTCTGAAGTTATTTACATAAAATACTATTTTATTTGCATATTACATAGGAACATTATACTATACACTTAAAATCATGTCTAGATTATTTATACTCTGTAATACAATGCACATGCAATGTAAATAGTTGTGTATTGCATAGGGAATAATGTTTGTTCTGATTTCTTTATTTCTCTGCTGATACCTTTCTAATGCTTGCAGTTTCAATCTCTCCGAGTTTTTAGTTTTATGCAAAGGTTGCACACATTCTTGTAAATTGCCATCTGTGAGAGAGTAGTGAAGTTTCTTAATGTAGCACAACCACAGCTCAAAATATCCATCAGTATAATACCTATTTCGTGTTGATTTTCTGATTATCCTTCATTTTGTTTAAGGATTTATTTTTATTTACTTTAAAGTCAGAGAAAATTGGGAGGGGAGGAGGAATGAAGAGACTAAGAGAGAAATAGACCTCTTCCATTTACTGTTCACTCCTCAAATGCCTGCAACAACCAGGGTGGGCCAAACCAAAGCCAGAAGCCTGAAACTCCATCCAGGCTTCCCACATGGTTTCAGGGTCCCAGTCATTTGAGCCATCACCTGCTGCTTCTCAGACATGTTAGCAGGAAACTGGATTGTAAGCAAGGACCTGAGATTGTAATACAGTATGGGGGGCTTTCCAAGTGAAAGCTCAACCTGATGCATCACATCTCCTGTCCCATCTTGTTGTTGAGTAGAGACATGAAATATAGAGCTGCCATAACTGCTCAGAAGTAGTTATAATAAAATCCAATCCAAGTTGCAGATCCTGCATAGCCTTTTGCTGATTTCTGTCAACTTTCTGGCATTGTTAGTTGGCATTTTGATAGCTTTTAAAAATATTTTTCCTTAGAAATTAGTGGTGTGGCCTAGCAGCTAAAGTCCTCGCCTTGAACGTTCCGGGGTCCCATATGGGCGCCAGTTCTAATCCCGGCAGCTCCACTTCCCATCCAGCTCTGTGCTTGTAGCCTGGGAAGGCAGTCAAGGACGGCCCAAAACTTGAGACCCTGCACCCATGTGGGAGTCTTGGAAGAAGTTCCTGGATCCTGGCTTCAGATCTGCATAGCATCGGCCGTTGCGCTCACTTGGGGAGTGAATCATTGGGCGGAAGATCTTCCTCTCTGTCTCTTCTCCTCTATGTATATCTGACTTTCCAATAAATAAATAAATCTTTAAAAAAAAAAGAAATTAGTGGTGTTTTTTTTTTCTCAAATCTCTCAGTGATCATTTACCTTGTCAATGAGAGTAAGAACTTCCAAATAAAATGCCACTCCCTGTCTCTGTCTTCCTACCCCTGTCTTCATGGGCCCCAAGAACATCTCCATTCAAGGGGACAAGAATATTCTTTAAAAATGGACATTGGGAATTTCATGTCATTGAAGACCTTTCTGAATGGCTTTTGTCAAATTATATCTTGTTTTTTTCTGGAAAAGGAATGTTTACTTGTAAGTGACATTGTTAAGTTTATAGCAGGGGAAATAAAATGAACATCAGGACAGGATCGTGACACGCAGAATATTGCAACAGTGAAAGCTATTAGGTGTATGAATCCTAGTGAGGGTTGAAAGCCCCTTGGTACTATAGCTCAGGAAGACATTTGTCACTCTGACCTGAGACTGCATCCAAGATTTCAACATAATGTTTTTGTTAATACTAGCAGCACGTTTTCAATTCTGGTTTGGTGTCCATTCATAGCTTCAGGCTTTATTTCTTTTGTATTGCTGGTTCCTGGCCCACCTCTAACAAATTAGAGAGGGGCTTAAAAACAAGTGGGGACCCACATACCATATGTCTAAATATTTAAACTTTATAAATCAAGCTATCAAAACTATTAAATGAAATATGTTCTATCTTCCCACATTGACAAATACACTTTTAGAATTACAAAATTTAAAACTACATGTAAGGCTGTGTTTTTTCTACAACTAAAAAGCAGAAACTATCAACATTATCTATTTTAATCGTTATTATGCATGTCTGAGTGTTCTGCTTATGGGCCAGAAATATTATAAATAACCCACAGGTTGTTATATATTAGTTCCATAAATGTTTTCCTTCATTTCAGCAAAACTTCTTACTACCTGTGTTATTTTGTCTGCAACTTTGTCTGGACTGTGTTCTGTTGATGTCAAGTTAGACAAGCTTCTCTTGAGTCACTGTGATGCTTACTTTCAAATCTAATTTTAATTTAGAGAAACTTCTTCTCCTAAGCCAGTAAAGCTATTGCTGCTAATAAAATCCCTAAAGCAACACTTAAATTTGAAACTCAACTAAGAATTTGACATGCCAAATTCCAACATAAAAATAAGAAGATGTTACTACTCACCACAGTAGAGTAAGTCACATTATATGAATCTGTGTTGTGTTTTATACATGTTTCTCAGTGTGTGTCACATTGAGTGTACAATGCGAATTGTTTTCTGTGTATATTGTCTAGGGCTGCTTTAGCAAAGTATTGCATGATGCATAACCAAAATAAGAGAAACGTAGTGTCTCACAAGTTTGGCAGCTGGAAATCTAAGATAAAGGTGTCAGCAGGATTAGTTCCTCATATAGGCTGTGTAAAAGGCTTTCTTCTTTTGGCGACTTGCCAGAATTTTTTGGCATCCATTGACTTGTAGACACATCACCAGATCTCTTGGGATTCACATGGCATTCTCTCTGTGCATACTTTTTATTAAAAACCCAACCAGAGTACCTTATTTTAAGTTAATCACTTCTCTGTAAACACCTTGTTTTCAAATAAGGTCACCTTCTGGAGTCTTGGTGATCGGGACTTCGACATAAAAATTGGGTAGGGGGAGAAAAGTTAATACATAATGCTTAATATCACATAACTTTTCTGTACCATGTGAAACTCTTCTAAATGGTGAAGACGTTCCAAAGCACTGATTGGCATATAAAAGAAAAGCAAGAGCATGGCTGCTTGGTGATGCTGGAATGATGGTTATTGCGAAACTCTTACACTGGGAAGAGGAGCTTGATAGGTTGGTAGATTTGCTGAACCTCATGCTGAAGTACTGCTGCCTCTGCAGTACTCTATGTTCTTTGCAGGGCCACAGCACACAATAACCCCCATGGTGTGACATTCCAGTCACCTGGTGGCTGCAGGACAGAGGGTAAAAGAAATAGAGACATGTCCACTGTCACATAGTGTTAGTCCCAGCAACAGATATTTAAGGTTTCAGGTCCCAAGAGGCAGAAGGTCTCATGTGTACACTTTCCTCTTGTTGGATTTCACATCTGGGCCTTTTTGTATGCAGGTACATGGTGGAAACCTTTGTTCTGCTTGGGTCTTTGCATATTTGTCAATTGATTAATTTGTTCAAAAGGCAGAGTAAAGAGACAGAGAGAGATGCATCTTCCATCTTGCTTGTTCACTTCCCAGATGACCACACTGGCAAGATTAAGCCTGGAACTCCATATAGATCTCCCCCCATGGGTGGCAGGGCCCCAAGTACTTTGAC